TTCCCAAAAACTATTGTCCACAGAAATTTCTTTGTCCTCAGTTACAGAACCTCATTCATCTCCCTTCAATGTCTTTAGACTTTTGTGATGCCAAATAGCAGACAAGAACTTCCAGGTGTTCACTTGTTGCTGGTTTTGCTCTTCTTAAACCTAATCACCTCTGTGTGTGATTCTGTCCAAACCTAGACAGATATTCACAAGTTAACTAGCCGACTTTCACATCACAATGTTAGTTATAAAATAAAACAAAGTTTTAAATGATAATATAAATGTCTGAAGTATGGGAAAAATGTCCCCTAAAATAACAATTTATCTCCACCAAGCATGGATTGAGATCAGGTACACAAAGCTCTTCACCGTGCCTGTACTGCAGATATCTAAGGTTAAGCAAGATTAATTCTACTCCAACCACCAGATTCTTGGTCCAATAACTAGGATTAGAAGGCACTGCAGAGATATTTTCATATAACAGAGCATGTTAGGTTATCTGACTAAAGCCTAAGCAAATTAAACACAAAGCCATGGCAAGGATCAAAAGAACAATTAGTGAAAACCAAGGACACTGACTCACTAGTCGTAAAACCATCAAAGGAGAATGATTCAGATCATTGTTCCTGGTGCAAAACCAAGTAAAATAAGTGTAGGAAACTCCCTAGAAAGCCATAAAAGCTGAGGAATTACCTAAAGGGTTGTCGTGGTTTAACCCCAGCCAGCAGCTCAGCTCCACACAGCCGCTCACTCACTCTCCCCTGCAGCAGGATGGGGAAGAGAATCAGAAGAGTAAAAGTGAGAAAACTCGTGGGTTGAGATAAAGACAGTTTAATAGGTAAAGCAAAAGATGTGGGCACAAGCAAAGCAAAACAAGGAATTCATTCACCACTTCCCATGGGCAGGCAGGTGTTCAGCCATCTCCGGGAAAGCAGGGCTCCATCATGCGTAACAGTTACTTGGGAAGACAAACGCCATCACTCTGAACATCCCCCCCTTCCTTCTTCTTCCCCCAGCTTGATATGCTGAGCATGACGTCCTATGGTCTGGAATATCCCTTGGGTCAGTTGGGGTCGGCTGTCCCAGCTGTGTCCCCTCCCAACTCCTTGTGCCCCCCCAGCCTCCTCGCTGGTGGGGTGGGGTGAGGAGCAGAAAAGACCTTGGCTCTGGGTAAGCAAGCACTGTTCAGCAGTAACCAAAACATCCCTGTGTTATCAACACTGTTTTCAGCACAAATCCAAAACACAGCCCCATACTAGCTACTGCGAAGAAAATTAACTCTATCCCAGCCAAAACCAGCACAGGGGTATAAGACTTCTTACAGGATATAGGGGGGTGAGAACTTATGGACAGAGCAGAGAGAATTTGGGGACTATGTAAAATTTATTATGGGTTTTTTTAAGGGGATTGCAGCAGCATTGAAAACTTACTATGGGATGTTTAAGGGAAACACCAAAGGTGTGTAAAGGGAGGGACTAAGGTAGACTGGAGAGAAACAAGCATGGAAAAACCAAGGACAAAGAGGATAAAGGGGCCCAGTCCCATGTAGACAGCTTACCTGTTACGCTTCAACGCATGAGCCTTGCACTTCATCGCTGCAGTCCATCTGGTGTTCGTATTACACCCTATTTCTAACTGGTCTTGTGTGCACATACATGTCAATGCTAGCAAACTTCAAATGGGACTAGCCCACGAGTGGGCCAACAGGAATAAGTAGGAGCCACTGGAGCAGGACCACACGTCTTAGGGACCTGAGGGTCTAGGGGCCAGCAGCTGGGAGAGACAGGCTGGATGGCACTCACTGCATGGCCTGTCTCACAGCAGCTACCGGAGACCCGTACTGCAAGTGTGTGCGCACCCTGCAGGAGAACCCCACGCCAGGCCAGCTGGAGAGAAGGAAGAGGCTGGAGCTGTAATACCCGAGTGCAGCCTGTGCTGACACAGGAGCCAGTAAAGGCACCGCTCTCTCCCCCTGTTGATTTGTGGCTGGCCATGTGTTTCTTGTCTGTGTTGTGTGTAGGTGCACGCTGTGCGTAGGTGTGCACATGGGTATCGTTTTGTATTGTTACAGGCTTCCGGATACAGAATCACGGCAGCCTTGGATCCTTTGGATTGGGAGGGGAAAAATCCCCCCAGTCCCAAAGGCCAGGGGATTCTGCTACCGTGAACAGAGTGAAGAATGCCCAAACGGACACTGGCAAAAACACTCCTGTGGAATTTTTTTAGTTGGTCTAAAATTTTTATTTATTTCCATATACACCTCAGAAACCCAACTGGCAGTTTAGCTTGTTTTAGATATCTAGAATACACATTGAGTAAAACGAAATTATTTTATTCAAATATCTGTATCACTACATAGCTTGGCTATGATAAACAGGAGTAAAATGTTGATGACTCCGTAGATGCTTTATCATGAAACAGCCAAAATTCACCCAGGCTATGAATACTGATTTAAATATTTCTGTATCAAAGAAGTTATTTCTCTTTCAAAACAGTCTTTAAATATCTTCCCAAAGTAAGAATACATACAGAAGTTATCTTTTTTTAATCAGCAGGTATGTAGGCACTGCATTTGCTTTAGAAAGTAGTCCATCATGTCCCTTTTTTTTTTTAACTTTCTCCACACACCACCACACACCCCCAGTCAATGACACCAAAATTTTGAAGGCAATCATTAAGAGTCTCCTTATATTTTCAGTATCTTATGTAATGCTAAGGATTTTATTCTACAAACACTTGGGTATGCATACATGCAAATGCATGTATCCATATTCTTTTTGCATATAATGATTTTGATAAATCTAGGTAACTCCTTTAAGGTGATTAACATGAGGCCAGATTACACCTCTCAAATCAGAGGGGAAAAAAAAAACAACCAAACAAACAAACCACCAAATAAAAAAAAAAATTAAGAGCTCCAGCTCCTTTAATGTAATTTCTAAACTATTTCAGTGGTGGCCTGTGACAGACTTCTATGAGCACTTCTTGCAAGCAGAGCTACCACTTGGCAACTACTATATTTAAGTAAGTTTAAAAAACCTACTCTGAGTATTGTGGCATTATGGATGGCCACAAAAAGTGTTGGAGACCACCTGTAAGGGTTGACAGATCAACAACAGCTAGCCCAACAGCGTACAAATCCATGGCCAGGGATCCTCTGAACAGACTGCAAATGCCACCTGCAAAATTCCAAACAACTGACTTCCAACCAGAAAGCCGCAGTCCACACCTACACTGGTTTTACAACTAACATGTTTCTAGAAGCCATAGCAAGACTTGATTTTGGAAAACAGGCTTTTTCCTGCAACGCTAAGAGGGTGCCCCACTTGACAACAAGACTAAGATCTCTGTACAAGACCACGCCCATTGAATTTCACATGGAATTCATATCCAAATACACAGCCTCTGAGCACCCTCCTAACTTTAAATTCCTTTTTTCAGCATGCTGTTACAATGTCTCTAGCAACATTTTTAGTCAAACCTGATCCTTTGAGTTTACTGGGGGGCCTGTCTGAAAGCAATAATGCACAAGGGTCTTTGGACATGAAGAGATCCTTTGGACATGTCTTATGCAGTAGAGCTCCACAGCAATACCACACCGTAACCAAACTAACTTCAGAACTGAAAGCTCCCTAGTTATATTCAGAGCTCTGCACCAAAGCTAATAAATTCCAAGCAGCAGAGCTTGTTCATACCAGAGGTTATCATGACTCAAGAAATCACCAACCAACTACATCAACTCAAGCTAAACTGACAAGGCCAAAAACTTTTAATCACATACCAGAAGATTAGTCTGGTTTTGCAAATTGTACAAGACTTGACTACAGCTGTGTCACAAGCCATACTGCGGACCACACATTCTCCCTCAATTTTCTCAGTGTTTCAGGAAGAAAATAAACTGTATTTGGCACAGAGTGCACTGTATTAGTACAACAGGCACACAGCCAGCATCAGTCTATTCCCTGATCTGTTCCACTGCTTCTCATCATCCTACTTATAGCTCTTCAGATCTGCTTCTCTTCCTGCATCACCCCATAAGGTAAGTGATCCAGAAAGTAAAAGATACATTATGGCCTCTTATCACCAAACAGCCATAATTTTGCCATGATGATCCAGGAATCTTGCCCAAACAGTGCTAGAAGAGACAAGTGAAAGAATAAGAACTAGAAATGCATATGGATGTTAGTGTCAGTAGATACATTAAACAGGATGCTATATGAAGGCAAGTGCTCAAATTTGCAGATTGAAAAAAAAAAAAGTTAAACTATAAAGTTTATTCTAATTGAGTTCATAAATTTTTTTGTGTGCATAAACTCAGGACTGGGGGAGTGTAGTTAAAGATTGTGTAGTAATGCAAAGGTTTAAAAAATTCTTTTTGTACAGATGATGTTAAGCAACACTTATAGTTACTATGTATCTCATATCTCTGCAAGAGAAGCCTTCAGCCTAGGAGGCCTAGTTGAATTCCACCATGGTTTTCTGATCACCTTAGTATCTTCAGTAAAAAGTTAAGTTTATCCCATTGGAATTGAAGCAGAGCATTTTCCAGACAAACAGTAAAAGAACTTTGGGCTATAGGTACCTGGTGAAATATGAAGCTTGTACTTTTATTTTTTTTTTAATATAAACTTAAAATAGAAGGCTTATAATAAATCTTACCTAAAGAAGTTTCTGTGTTTTATACAATGTCATCTTTCATCCAGATTTTACAAGTTTTAAATAAGCTAATGAGAAAAGATACTTGTTCAGCTATGTCGTTATTAATATTAGCAACTTCAACAGTCTGAAGTTTTGTCAAGTCATGTAACAATAGGTAAGAAGACAGAACAAAACTGTAAATATGTTTACATTTGTCTGAGAATCTCATTGAATGCCTTTTGGATAAAAGAAAAATAATATATTGTACTGTAGTAAATATAACACAGTACATTTATCAGTCAGAATAATCAAGATCTAGTCCATTGCCTTAAGGTCACTTGTTTACTTTATTAGATTTGTTCAAAAAAAACCCCAAAAAAACCAAAACCAACAAACCCCAAGCCCAGAACTAAACAGCATAAGGATAACTGCTTTTATAACTCTGTATGGAACAAAGCTTTCTTGCCTCTGACAAATCTGAATCTATTTTATCCTTCTTTTGTAGTAATGGTACCAATGAATAGGACTGGAACTACAGATGTCTTCCACCAACTACCAAGTTATCTGCTTATGTCAAAAGGGCCAAACTCCACTGCAATACACAGCGTTGGGCCAGTAACATCAGACAGGCAAATGGCAACAGAAGATTACAGGGCCAATTCTTATGACTACCCAAAGCAGACAATGACTTGAGAAATCAGAGCATGTGTATACTTGGAAGAAAAGCCACATTTCTGGAGCCATATGCTGTCTTACTAATGTCCATCAAATTTTTTACAGTGGAATCATTCAATAGTGACATTTTCTTTCATTGTGACATTTTGTACATGTGAAAACAATTACTTCACTACTGCCACAATATGTTTCTTCCTCTCTGACACAAATGGCATAGATCCTGGTTTGCTGTGCTTACGACGATTCAGTTCCCTAGAAACAAAAAACAGAAAAATGAAGTTCAGTAGTCAGCACAAAGATTTAACAAATGCTAGCTTCCTCCTAAAGCTACTAATGAAGATATCCTACAATTTAAAAAAAATTTAAAAAACTTAAGAATTGCTCTGCTTTTATTAACCAAAAGCCACGTACTTCCTCCTTTGAGAAGGATTGTCCCTTTGAAAAATAACTTTAAAATTGGCTAATTTAGAAAAGTTTCAAATCAAGCTTGTTCTTTGGAGCTCAGCTTACTTGGTTTTCATGTCAACAGGATTTGATTCTCAAGTTTGTAGAGTCTTTCAGCTGAGACAGATGACTAAAACCCACCACTTCTTGGTTTTAGTGTTAGTTTAATGGCTACAATGTATGCCACCTAGAAAGTATACTCCTAGAAATTCCAACGTGGCAACGATCCAGGTGATGGAAAATACTCATCCTTGAGCCTAGCATTAAAAAAAAAAAACAAAAAACAACAAACAAAAAACCCCAAACCCAGCCCACAAAAGAACCAAAACAAAACCAAAATCCTCCACACACCCAAAACAGCCCCGTCTGTTTCCATTGCAATGTTGCATGATACCATGCTTAACACAGCATTGTGGCTCTTTCCAACATCATATTTGCTCCAACTTCTTCAAGTACTTTTGGGAAGCAGCCAGTTCTCACTGATACTGGCACTTGTCTGCATTTTCCTTATAATCAAAGGTTAATCAATCCAGTAGTTCATGATCACTTATTCAGATGTTAAAAGCAGCTCATACTTGTTCCTCCCACACACTGTAGCTCTATCACTCCCATACATTGCTGCTACGGCACTGCAGTGATGTATTTTATTAAAATCAAGAGAAAACAAAGCCAGAAGAGGAAGACATACTTTCGCCGACGAGCTTCTCTCATGATACGTTGCTCCTTGATTTGGCAAAATATACTTTTAGGCAAGTGACGGTGTTGAGCTATGCGTCTGATCTGCGGGTGATACTGGAACTTCTCCTTCAGCTTCTGATTGTAATTCATAGCTGCCTTCTCTCGTGGTGCAAGCTATGGGGAAAACAACACAGACAAGCATGGTGTAAAAGAACAGGGATTCAGCTGTCACGATTTTCTCTACAAAACAAAATTTTAACTTTTAATTCAAATGGCTTCCTTCTAGCAAATGGCTGTAGCCACAGGAACTTCAGAATTAGGGCAGGTAAGTACTAAAACCCTACAATTTCAACAATATCCCAAACACAAAACATTATCACAGTTTCAAAGTTCAGTGAAGTAACTGAATTTACTCACTGAAAATCAGATTTTAGTGTTCTGTAGAGAAAGAAGAGAGAATAGAAGTAGCTGACAGTAAAACCTCTTTGATCAGAGTCTGCCTGCTTTCCTAATGTCTGATGACAATCAACTTTTGCTCTGAAACAAAGATTTGCAGGCATTTTAATCACAGTACAAATGCTGTAAATGAATTGTCTTCACGAACAGCTTTACAGACAGCTCTTTAGGTGGCCTATATCTTACCCAGCACCTTGATCCGTTAGGAAACACACGGCACGTATCAGATTTCAAGCATTAGCTTGACCATATTGCACACAGGGAGTTCCAACTTTCATTACACAGCTAAAAATATCTTAGTATCACAAACACATGAAATCCAGGTGAGCTAGCATTACCACAAAATTCTTCAATTTTATCCATGTTTAAAATTATGTCTGAGCCACCATTAACAACACTGAAAGTGAGAAATGCCTTTTCCTGACAGCTGACCTACAGAGGATATTTTTTTTTTTCAACTAGGCATGTTTCCTTTGGTCCTAATGCTTATTTATCAAAAGGAAAAAAAAATCTGTGTGTGCTATCTTTATGTTTAAAGCATGCACTACATCATGAGGAATATCAGTCTCTATGTATTTTGGATTTGCTCTCGTCTCTGGGAATTTCAGCTGCATTTCAGTCCAGTGAGCTTTCATATAAACAGAAAATCTGTTAAATATGTGTGGATAATCCTACCCTCCTCTTCTTACCCTCCCACCCAAAATACACTCTAACTCCAATATTTCAGACATCTTAAAGCCCTCCATATTTTCAAACAAGCAGTGGCAAAAGTTTTTTTGCCCTCCCACATTTCTTTCACCCACTGCTACCTGCACCTAAAATATTAAAAGCAAAACAATAGTTCACATAACTTCTATTTATTCAGCTTTGCAAATGACTCGGTTTCACTAATTTCTTGCTTTCTCAAGAAAAAACAGAACCTGAGTTTCAGATGCTAACAAAAAAAAAGAGTAACAAACCCAACAATTTTATTACACACAAAAATTTGGAAATTCCACCTACAGGATTATGAAACATGCTTTTTTCCCCTTTGAAATCAGCAGTTGGCTATTTCTTCTCCAGTCAGGAGATCACTTCAATAGAAGTGACTTCTGTTAGAGTATTTAATGAATTCTGAAAAAATAAGTATCATACTCAGATAATTTTGGTCCAAAATACCATTAATGGTCTGAAAGCAAGTATTAATAAAACATATGGCAAAGGAGTTCCTCCTTTGGGACGATAAAGAAACCAGATACCAGATGCAGAATTGCTCATCGCTCAGAAAATTCTTATTCGGGCATCAGAGATACATAATGCTCTTAACCTCTGTTTCTCCACACCGTCTCATTCATAAAAACCAAACCTTTCTGCTTTACTTATATTTATCATGACCTCTCAAATTGCAAGTGAGTAAATTTTACAATCTTAACCCACAAAAACTATGCCCCCACACCATTTACCGAAATTCCTTCTACTGAGCCAGCCTGAATAGCTGATTCACTCTCAATAAATCCCAGGTGTTCCCACTCAGCAGAAAACTGCCAACATAATCCAAATTAAAGAGCTTTTATTTTAATTAAATGCAATGATTTTCCTTTAATTTAAGAAGAGCAAATTGCTGCCGATTTAGTATAACCTTGATGATTCTACAGACAAGAGGTGAATCTGTAAATTAAAGATACATCCAGGATATCTTATTTAAAAAAATAATATAGATTAAGAGGTGGTTATGTTTGAGTCTGATTCCATTTTTACATGTAATGTGGTATATAGAAAGGCACAGAGCTGGTGACTTTCCATCCAACTACCAAATGCCAACGCCCCATATACCAGGCTGTGCTAAGTGTACCTTCATCTACATGATGGTAAAAGAAGATTCTGCAGTAATGACAAGTTTCTGTCTATTTATGAGAGACAGCAGATAGCTAAGAAAGTAGACTGCAATAGCACACTGAATTCCAACCTCTCTTGCAAGTCATTTTAGAAAGGTCACCATAAACAGCTGAAGAGCACGGCATTAGTCCCCATTCTGTTTTGAGCTGCAGAAGATGCCATAAACATAGCATGATTTAGCAGGATTAGAGATTTTGTTTATAGGTACTAGAACACTCTACAATATAATAAATTAGGATTTATATGACATCATGAATGGAAGACATGCTCAAAGATGACGTATGACCCTTTTTTCATACATTCCAAAAATGAACATGCAACTTCCTTCCTATATAAGGGAAATAGAAATCATGTGGCAGAAAGACAGCTGATTTGTGCCATTACCACAACAGTACTTCACAGCAAATACCTAGAGTGAAAAAGGGGGGAAAAAGAACTCTAAAATGCAACAAAGTTGTCAGCAATAGGAAAATGTGTCCTCAAGTAAACTGCCTATGCCTCTCTCCTCCCTCCAGATGACAGAGGCTGGTTATTTTTCCCACCTAAGCAGAAGGAAGGTAAGCAATTTTCCAGAGCCCTGATTGAAGAGCTAAAACCACCTTTAACAAAAAATTCTCCTTTTAAAGAGGGCTGTATTTGTACTGTGCAGTATTTAAAACTCCACACTACTAGACTCTTGTAATTCATCATGAGAATATGAAATGGCTGTTTATCTATCCTGTCCAGGTTGCCCTTCTAGGTTAGGGCAGACAGAGCACAGATGCAACGTATTTTTAGAATGCAAACAGTTTTCTACACTATAGCTTGTCTCTATTTATTTTTTTTTTCCATTACTGCTATGAAGTTTATTACTCATTGTTTCCTTGGACCAAAAACTTACAGCTTCTTTACATCTAAATGGATGACAAAAAAAAGAAAGGTACTGTAGATATTAAGAGCACAAAGTCATAGCTAAAGGGATGAAGTTACATGTGCATTGAATCACAAACCCAAAATCACTACAAAAAGAATGCTGTGTCACACCGTATCTGGTACTGCTTGTTATCAGCCTTATCTCACAAAATGGAACTGTATACTAGAAAAAGACTGAAAGGACATACAACTACTTAGACAGTTTTGATGCACTCCTCCTAACACACTTTGCTAGATCAAAACCAAAACTTGTAACTGTGTCCTGGTTTCATCTGGGATAAAATTAATTTTCTTCCTAGTAGCTGGTATAATGTTGTTTTGGATTTAGTATGAGAAGAATGTTGATAACACACTGATGTTTTCAGTTGTTGCTAAGTAGTGTTTAGACTAAGTCAAGGATTTTTCAGCTTCTCATGCCCAGCCAGCAAGAAGGCTGGAGGGGCACAAGAAGTTGGGAGGGGGCACAGCCAGGGCAGCTGACCCAAACTGGCCAAAGGGGTATTCCATACTGTGTGATGTCATGCCCAGTATATAAACTGGGGAGAGTTGGCCTGGGGTGGGGATCGCTGCTCGGGAGCTAACTGGGCATCATTTGGTGAGTGGCGAGCAATTACATTGTGCATCACTTGTCTTTCTTGGGTTATATTTCATTCTCTTTCTGTTATTTTCCTTTTCATTATTATATTTTATTTCAATTATTAAACTGTTCTTATCTCAACCCACGAGTTTTACTTGTTTTCTATTCTCCTCCCCATCCCACTGGGGGTGGTGGCAGGAGTGAGTGAGCAGCTGCATGGTGCTTAGCTGCTGGCTGGGGTTAAACCATGACAAACTGCACCTTCTCCTATCTTTTTCAGTCCTTAATAAAAAGCTGTTATTTCTGCATCTTGTAAGAAAGCAGCAAACCTATGCTCCGCTACTGTTACATTCACTCCTGACACTAGTTTTACACTTACTGAAACACAAATCATTCCCAAGTAGAAAGTGCTCTGTTCTAATTCTTAACTACTTTGGAAATTTAACAGAGCCAAAATTTGCAGCTGTTGCTCACAGAAGTAACATTACTAAGCATTTACACTCTAAGAACTGCAGGTGTAGATTTTTTTATAACATGTCAATAGACTGAAGAACAATACAGCTTTCTGAAGTTTTACTGATGGTTCATTGCTTTCACTACAATTGAAAAAAACCCAATCTATCCCTCTCTTTGTATTAATTAGATTCATAGATTCATCCTCTTTTCCTGAACAGCCAAAACCATTTACCTTTTCAGAAATCCTAAACCTCTCCAAGAACACAGGTACAGAAGCCTCAAACATACTTAACATGTCATATTTTATGTACACTATTTGAACAGAATGGAGTACCTTGAAAGTCTTAACTGAGTCTTTTGCTTCTGGACATGCAAAGCCAGATGTTTACTGCTTTAAAAATAACATCTGTTAGGTCTGTTAATAATAATATTTATTATTTAATCAACTTTTATTAAAAAAACTAATCATTGCAAATTATTTTAAAGCAAATTCTGCTGTAGCTGCAACAGAGAGATTTGGGTTTTGTTACCCCTATACAAAACCCATTCAGACTTAATTGTCAGTGGAGTGGAGACACAGCATGCCTCTGGCTCCTCCAGAGACTTTTATTCTTACTTTAATGTTTCACTGATTTTGAATAATGAGTGTGATGCCAAATACATTAAAAACCAAAAGAAACATGCATGTCAGAACTGATGACTGCTAGGGTAGCCACAGTTCAGAAAGTACAACTTTCCAACTGGATAAATGTTCACCAGTCACAACGTAAGTACTATATATTCACTATAACTTCCTTGGAATCCAGCAACGCTAAAAACAGGACTAAGTACTCACCAAAATAAAAAAATAGTTGATTACCATTTTTCTTTCTCTTTCAGGACGCTGGTTTCCATCCACCCCCACCCCAAAAATATCCATCTTAAAATACAATGTATTACAAGATGTTAGCATTATATCAGAAATACAGTGACCTTTGGATGAGTCATTCAATCAAATCTTCTCAGCAAAGAAAAATAGCAGACCAAGCAACTAAGCATTTAAGACATATTCTGACACTTCTGACAGAATTACTGAATGTTCAGCTTTGAATATTCAAAATGTTCAAAAAATAGCCACAGACTATGGAGGAACTGGACATTTATAAAATGAGCAAGCATATGTCTATGAAGATAAGAACACCAATCCTCTAAAAATGAAGAAGCAGGTACTAAAGAAAAACAGTGGAACCTGATAAATAGCCATTAACAGTTGCAGTGTTAAGAATCACAGGAACTACCAGGTTGGATCAAACAAGGATTGGCACAGTTGCTTGAATCCAAGCAACATTTCCAAGGTATATCCAAGAACATGATAAGCCATAAAGATTCCACTCTTAAGTCCTATTAGCAAGAATAATTCTCTAAATATCTGAAAAATAAAATTTCATAGTGCTTGTAAAAAAATTTTTTTAACAAAACTACAGCAGCTTCAGACAGTTACTAATTTAATACCCAAATTCTGTGTCTTGCTAAATTCAAGGCTTCAACAGCATCATGCTTGAACACATTTCCAGACAAGACATGAGGATATGAAACATTATCTCTTCTTATTACAGCATAATTCTTTACAAGTTCATTAGCATCATCCATGTGAAATAACAGCAGTTTTTCTACATAGTTCACTATGCCCCTTGTAAGTTCTTCCTGAATTCCTAGATTTTGCTTTCTTAAGATGTCTTTTGATGTTGCAAGGTGGTTTTTTTAAGATAGAATGACAAGTTTTGTATTCTACATGATGGGATAACTTTCATTTCTGATAGTAAAAAAAAACCAAACCAAACAAAACAACAAAAAACCCAACGCAAAAAAACCCCAAACAAACAAAAAAAATCAAACAAAAAACCCCACATGCCACTTGACCTGTGTGTTATAGCTAGCTATTGAGGTAGTTCTCTTGGGAGCTACAGCCAAAGAGCTTTGACAGAAATACTTACAAACCCTTACATGCACACATGCTACAAAAGCTGTATTTGTATGATCCCACCACAGCAGAACTGAATCATATGTGCAGCCTCCAAAAGGCACGTCAAGCAGCAACACTGTACTTACAAACAGGGAAAAAAAAAGGACAGGCTATTTTACGTAGGATTCTCTGTCAGATCAAGAACACAAGAGTACTGATGTGGAGACCATATCCAATACCTAATAGTCATAATTGGTAGTGCCTTTTTTAGGCCCATCCATGGCCAGTTTTCACTGATGCAAATACTACAGAAAAGAGCAGAATGTCATTTACCACTCTACATTTTGAATACTTAAACAATAGCTAAGTTGTCCTTTCGGTATGTAATATTTCTACAATGCAGGACTCTTTGGGTTTGACTATTACTTCCCACAGCCAAGTTTCCTTACTCTTTCATAAGAAAAGGAGCCAATGCCATCTAGTAGTCAATAGAGTGAATTTTCTGTTCATACCTGAAAACATTAGGAATCATTCTATATGAAAACGTTATTTTCGACACTCTTTTTACCCACTTGTCCTTCACACAAAGGCCACAGAGTAAAGATGCATGTCAAAAATACCAGACAATTCTGTTACAGAGCAGCATCTTAGAGAGAGACAGCATGCTCTCTCACTAAGAATATAGTGAATAAAGAGAGAAAATTTCAGTTAATATTGTAAAACAAGGTGAAAAGGGCATTGCCATGAGCATATGGCTACAACAATAGGAAAACAGGTGATATTTCTGCCCAACACCACAATTTATAAGCAAATTCAACAAAAAAGTTACATCAAAAAGTAAAGTCTATAATGAGCTTTGCAGAGTCCTTGGAATTAGCAGGTATAGGACTGATATTTAAATGTTTGACTGAAGCCCTACATGGGCAAATTCCAAGAATCAATTAGAACAGGAAAAAAAAAAGTCACCCTCAACAAAAAAGAAGAGTTATTCCTTTAAAGAAATTAAACTTAAATCGCAGTTTGCAAATACTGTACAAGCTACAAAGTTGTGGGGGTTTTTTATCTATAGCAAAGATGAGAAAAATAACAGCGACTTCCAAATACCTATGGTGGGCCATGGCTAAAGATATACATGGTGTTTTAGCTCTGCTACTCCATATCCAGTGCTTCACAGTGCGCAATAGTCCACGAATTATCCCATTCCACATTGTAGCCCTAAGTACTCCTACCACTCCCATACACCTGCCACCTCTCCCAGCTCCACACCACTCCCCTTCTACGCAGATACTATTGCTTGATGGAGCTTCAGGTAGCCACAAGCAGCCCTAGACATAACTATGCAATAGATCCATCCCCGTAACTGTACAATATTCTTCCCTGAATTACAGCTTCCCTTTCCGCCCTCCTCAATCTTTCACAAGATCAAGTAGAAATTCCCCCAAGCATTATTTGACAGCTATGCTGATGGGCTCAGAAAAAGCAATGTAAGCACCTCCAAAATACCATAACAATATAAAGCTACATAAAGGGATTATTCCCAGCAGCCAAAGTGTCAAATTCATTCTCCAAAGTCATTCAATACTTTAATACAACTGTGCAGATGAATATATGCAAGTGGTAACTGTAATAGAATATTTTGGCTTTGTCTATACATAAACATTTGAACAAGGGTAACTGAAAAGACATGTATCTAATTAGACTGATGTCTGTTTCTACTAGGAACACTTCAACCAAACTAGTTTACATTGAATTAAATGGACTTCAGACACCACACTAGTTTGCCCACTCAATATCTGAGAGTTATATAGGTTAATGACAATCTCACCTACACATTGGTGCAAATGGTCTATTTTACAACACATACGCTTATCAGAGTATGAACTGCATGTGAACCAATAGCATGCCAGTCAAAATTTTTAAAAGTAGTAATCCTGAGCTTCAGTAGAATGACCTACATATGGCAAACCAGAATTTATTGCTTTTTCTCTACTGCAAAGGGATGAATTCTCACCTGTAGCACCCAGGTAAAAAACTCTAATTTAGTTTAGTTAGAACTGATGATTATTGTTAACATTAAACAAGACCAAAAAAAAGTCACCTTGTGTAGCAACAATGAGGCATGTAATTTTATTGTTATTATAAGCTGCAGTGAATGCAGTGAGCTATACTGTGCATGTCAGTTTTCAAATTAAATACAAATGTCAGACTACAATTTTATATTTTCCCTTTACAAACAAGTTTTTAGAAGTTGAATAGGCTAACCAGTTGTAATAACAACAAACCCCAAACATCTTGCCTTGTGATAACAAAAAGCAAAATGCAAGTCTTACCACTCCCAGTTTTTCAGAAGCATTAGCTTTCCACAGACGAATATTCATCTCATCTGAGCCACACAGAATATATTTGTTATCTGAAGTCCATTTTACAGTGATGACGTGCTGCATTCGTTTTGTATGATATACCTCCCTAAACCAAAAAGAAACATTTTTAAATGATCTATCATCTCTTTTCCCACCAACATTACTTTTCAAATAGCAGAAAGCATTCTGTTCAAGGCAGAATATATTTTTTACTTTTTGTTGTTTGGGTTTTTCTTTTAAATCTGACTTTTTTTAAACACCGTGCTGATCTTAAATCTAGAGGGAGAGAAATTCAAATAAAGTGTGATGGATAGACTGATAAAGGACCGCCTAGGATGAGATGCTTTTTAAGTAAGTGCTTTCATAGAAATAACAGTAAACAGCTAAAGAATAGCTAAAGAATGTTTTGCAAAACATGCCATGGGTATACAATATGGTATGTATACTGTTACCAAAATAATTTTCATTAATATGCTGTTACAGCAGTCAAGCATTACAAAATTGGACTGCAGAAGAATGGGTGCCAAAGAATCTGACACCACCATTATGAACAAGAACAGTAAACAAACACCTCCAGCTGTCCATTTATGACATGGCAATGGATTGGCTACTCCTCATTGTGATTTCTCTCCTTTCCCCAAAAATGGACTTCCTTATCATTGTCTAAAGGACTCCTAAGAAAAATTTTAAAACCCTACAAACTCAAAAGAAAAGTCTCTAGACCTGCAAACAAGAACTCAACACGAAACATTAGTTAGTAGAAAAGGATTCAAAACAGCTGTGTGGCTATGAAGTGTAAACTACATTTAATTTCTGCAGATCAGACTCCTGCTCAGCAAGTGCTGGCACCTGTTGAAAAATGCTTCTACATGTTACATTTAAAGCAATATTTAAATGAAACTCTTACCTAATCTTCATTAAGTACATACCAAACAAGCAGAACAATATTATTCATAAAGCTATTCTTTTATTTCTGCTATAAAAATATAGGGCTAAGTAGACTTTTCTGGTAATTTTAACTATTTATTAGCATTCTAAAGGTGAAGAGTAAGTAAGGCGTACTTATTGTCCACTAATACTCCTCCTTTGGTATATCAGTCATGCACTGCAGCTTATAGACCATTCTCTTTCTTCTACCCAGTTATTTTTACAAGTAAGATCCAAGTAGTAACAGAAAGGAAATATGGAAACACCACCTATTCAAAAGCTGTGGAAAAAACTAGGCTGGTGTTGAGCTGGAGGATTTGTGGGAAAACCAAAAAGTAATCAATATATCACCTTAAATAAGCTTTAATAAGCTTAACCACCTCTTGTAATTCACACTCAAATGATGCTCTACAAGAACAACCATGTGGAATACTGAGCATGAGTACCTTTAGAAAACTTTAATACTCACATCAGCTTTTTTCTGATATTGATGTTTAATAGCACATGTGCACACACTTATTTTCATAAGCATCTCTATATTTAGTTTCATTTTACTAGTTGGCTCAATAACAAAGCTTTTCTTCACCCACCTTTGGGGAACTAAGTACTTCTTTCCTTACTCTGAATTTTCAGCCTTTGCCTCTCCTGTTGCTGTCATCACAAGTTATAAATATTGTTCTCAGGGAAAGCAAAACCACAAAACATGGCTAAATAACCTGGATCTGTCATTTAAAAAATTCACAGACATCCAGTTCTGTTTACCAAAATATTATTAAATTTATTCAACTTCATAATACATCTTATTTCTTATGGCTAATCAATTTCCTGATTTAAATTTTCATTTTAAAATAAAATAGAAAGCAATGGAAGTTAGGAGTTTTTCAGACTGGTGGGACATCAAAAGGCAAAACTGGAATACTATCAGGATCCTTGTTTACAGATACTTCTAACTGCCCTCTCAGTTTTCAGAGGGGGATCAGATCTTCCGTTTGGAGACTTTTCTCCATTCCATGGGATTAATTTCAACTGTGCAATTCTGAAAAAGCCCAGCTTCTAAAGAATTTTAAGTGTCAGCTTTCATGAGGCTTAGTTCTTCATTTGTAAGGCTCTTCCTCACTAGATTTACGGCCACCACCAGATGGGGGGAAAAAAGGGAGGACAAAGAGGAAAACTCCTTCCACAGGCCTTGGCAGCAATCTGCTATAATGTGGAATAAAGCCTTTTACTGTTGCGTCATGAGGTCTGCAAACTTCCCCTCAATGATGTGCTTTAACTTTGCATATCACCACTTTTGTGAACATTACTATTCCATAGCAAGGAAAAATCTGTAGAACACAGGAGCTGCTAACCGTATTGTTTAATAACACAAGAATTAAAAAAAAAAAACCAAAACAAACCCACAAAGGAATTGCAATACCTAATTACATTTAAAATATTATTGCAAGACAGGAAGAAAATTAAAACTACCTGTAGATTAGATATAAAGGAAAATGTAAACAGTCCCTCTCAAACTTTAATGCAATATAGGAACATACAGTTATGTTGAATAATGCATACATAACTGCATCAAACAATAATAAAAATATACTCTGCCCCTAATCAATATTTCAACATTTCCACCCTCCAAAACCACCTAGAACTTGACCTAGTAGCAACTTTTTGGGGGCTGAGGTTGGAGAGAGGAAGGCATCTAGGAGTAAAATAAAGTTAGGAATACGTAAAAAAAGAGGAAGAACTGACAACAGAGAATAATGACGGCAGGTTTATGAAGAACAAATGATACCAGACAGATCTGATAACTTGCTTCAATTTTCATCAAACTGAAAAAAAGAAAAAAATAATAATGGAGACACAGTAGATCCAATCTGAACTTCAGCAAAATATTTAATACATTACCTTATGAAATCTTACATGAAAAACTAATTCAAACTGAATTGTATTCAAAGCATTGTCACATGAATCAAAACCTAGTTAACAAAATATGAACAAAAGGTAATAAGCGTACTGAAACGGATCACAAAATTGTCCCAAACTGATCCTCAGGAACTCATACAACAATGCTTTTCATGAAATGTCTTTAGCAATCATCCATATAGGATGAAGACAGTCCCTAGAAAACCAAATGCTACAATGTTGTAAGGCACTGCAAACTTAAGTGGTGACAGATACAGTACAAAGTGACCTAAAAACATGAAAGGTACATAGAGGGAAATAAGATGGGATTCATCTTAGTAAAATACATATGAGTACACCCAAGAACAATAATCCACACTAATTTAAATCCAAAACTGCTTAAGTACTGCTATCCATTAAGTAGAAGTTCTACTCTAATACACACTCCAGAATTATATGTCAACTACATGACCTGTCAACTTCAAGTTACATACAGAGTAAGATTTGAATATTCACAGGAAGTGAATGCCCCTATGAAAATGGTTAATCAATGAATTAAGAATTTTGAGGACTAGGGAGGGAGGTCACTGGAATGAATGACAGCAAGAGAGAAAGGTGTAAAATCACTCACCTGCTGTGACCTTTGTCTACAGGAAAAATGCGGACAGACTTATCAAAGCTGGCAGAGACAAATTCTTTCCCAGTGGGTGAATAATCCACATCAAGAACAGCAGACACATGATCCATATGCACCGTCACAGGTGATTCAAGATAGCGCATATCAAAAGTATATAGGCTTTAAAATAAATACACCACAGCTTAATATCTTAACAACTCCTAAGTAAATAATACATTTTTGCTGAACAGCTACTTTAATCATACATAAACCACACTTAAAGATAGATCCATATTGCAGAGGGAACTCTAAAACTGCTCGTAACACATGAAAAGAAAGAATGATGCATTGTTTAGGGCCTGAAAAAAGTTTATGAATCAGAAGCTTAAGTTATTGGATCATACCTAGGTTTCTTGCTCACTGTCAAAGAACAGATAGTCTCCGCTATTCCCTTCATCATCTGCTCATGGGTCACTGACCAAACCTATTTCTCCAACCACCACACTGTCCTCATTTACTCCATCTGCAGATACAAGTATATAACCTGAACTTGGGCAACCACCTCTGAATCATTACGACAAGCCTATCAACTCTGCAAGGTTTCTAGATATTCTCATATTGGGAACTCCTAGTAACTCAGAGTCTACAGTCAAGTTCCCATTTGGTTGGCACCCTTTCCTACCACCTAACTGTCTTTAGGCCAGACAATGCAGAAGTCCAAGGAAAGCTTGGTCCTTCAATACATGGAGTTACTAGTTCAGAAGAGCACACTACCTGTAGAAAAGCATTACATTAAAAATAAACATACAGCTGCTGAGCCACAGCTGGTTTGCTCTTAAGCACTTCAGACCTCACATGAGGTCTACCTGTACTCCCTTTGAATCACCAAGCCCAGTGATACATAGCAAGGCATAAAAACTGAGATCATTAATTTGCCTAGTGCCAATAAGCAAGGGTGCTTTACAGACAAAGCATTTGATGAAACCTGCTCAAGGCATACTATTTAGTAGAACCGCTATATTAAAAATTTGTAATTTAGCAGATTGCTCACCCTCCTTGCTGCAGATGAATGCATAACTGGAATTAATTCAATGTCTCTTATTCAATAGTTTACTGGCAATTATTGCTTTTTCCTTCTAAATTCCCCAAGAAAAAGTATGCTAGCATCATATTCAAAACCACTACTCCCTATAATCAGCTAATGCTCGCATGTGCGTTGTTGATATATGTATTTGCCATTGCATTTATATGAATTGCTTTAGTTTGCAAGATGACAGTTGGCCCTGACAGTAACAGCTACCATTTTTAGTTTAGCAAGAGAAAGAAGGAAAAAACAAACAAACAAACAAAAGACATATAAACAAACAGATTAGGTAGCCTGGTAGCCTTACCATACCATAATCAAAATAGGTGAAAAGCAATACATTAGGTACAATGCCTACTTTCAAGGTTTGGGCCAGATTCCATTTCCTTGGAAAAACAGCCTTAAGACAAGTGATAAAATTCCTATGTTCCAGAAGAAAACAGTGATCTAACAATAGATCACTGACTTCCTGGAAAAAAGGATATGGAGCACATTTTGCAGTGGCCTAGTTTTGAAGACACAGCTTTTTCAATATCAGATTAGCTGTTCACATGAATAGTATTGTTCAAAAGTAAGAACTCCTCTGAGACGTTGAAAGGATAAGTATTGCAGACTGGAACTGTTTCACAAAAGATTAATTTTTATTTTTTTTTAAAGAAATGTTCTCATCAAAATAGCTGATCAGTATAATATAACAAGCTTCACAAGAACTAGCAAGAAAATAAACACTTATATTGCCTCAGACTGGACGAATAGTACTTATTTTCCAGGTGCTATTGCAAGTTACACTTGCATTGGTTCAGCTGCCTTTTTTCTAAGTTACACTGCTCCCCCCCCCCCGCCCCCAGGTACTGAAATACAGAGAAAGAGGCAGTCTACTATCAATTCTCTTTTTTTTTAATCAGCGAGCCTATAATTCTCTAGGTTATTACTTAAGTGATTCAAATTCAGAGCTTAAGTACTTTTTTAAAAATTTATTTTAGCATGGTGATAAATCACCAAGATACAGATTAAAAACATAACATGAGCAGGATTATCAAAAAGCAAGGTCACACTTACTTGTAATCTTCATTTGCTGCAGTAAAAACGAAGGCTTCCATTGGGTTCCAACACAGCGTATTTGTCCTCATATTCAAGATAACCTGGAAGATATTTACACATAGCTACCTTGTTATAGGCAGTAAAATAGTTGCTATAGTTGAAAACTTCCTATATCACTGGAGACAAGCGCTTTCTAGATACAGAATTATGGCAGAGAAACAGTGACATGACAGAATGTTTCCTTAGCAGTGTTAGAATTGGAATTCAAGAACTTCCTGTTCTGCATCATATGCTCACTTCTTTATGCTACACAGCAATTAAATTTTCCTCTGTAAGTCATCTTAGAAGCAAATTCCTCTAAGTGGTCATTTAACATGTAAACCATGTAAACATGTTAGCAGTCAACATGTAAAACTGGAACTTCTGAAAAATTTCATTTCTCCATCATATTTACAGGAACCTTTAGTTAAGTAATCTATAAACATGGCTAATTAAATGGTTATTTCAAGGGATATAGTCATTAATTGACACTGTGAACCAGCATTTGCAAAGCCATTATAACATTTTTATGTTCTCCCAGTTATTACTATCCCTTTGTTATTTTATCTCTGAAATTGCAGTTCATGAATTCTCCAGGACAGTTGCCATTTCTTGTTGAAGTGCCAAGCAATGTAGGTAGAAACTACCGTGTTGTAATCTACTCACCACTGTCACTGTATTGGCAGTGAATCATTTGCTACACATACATAAGACACGCTTGCTGCTAGTAAGCATATGGCTACAAAGAGGCCAGTTTGCCTTGAAGTGGGAGGAAGGCAGCTGATGACAGCCTAATAAGACCCTTCTACTTTGCTAACAGTCGACTAGACAAGAGGCATTAAGAAGCTATATGTTGGATGCCTCCACCTTGGAGGAGGGCTGTGGCAGTAACAGCTGGGCCCCTGTGGGAGAAGGGGAGGCAGGGAGGAGGGCATCCGACACTCCATACCACAGAACAGCTTTGACTTCTGCCGAGTCTTGGAGGAGCTTTCAACCACTGTATTTAAAAATAAATCCCATAGAGTACGCCTGACACAAAGTAGATGTATAATTGCAGAGCAACTTATTAACAAACTGAACAACTCTAAACAGGATTTTCCACAATGCTCCAGGCCAGCCATAATCCTACTTAAAAATCCTGAAATTTGGGTGTTTAACGCTATGGTACTCCAAACTCATTTTTGTTCTCAGCTTACTATATCAAACACCATAAATTTACATACATATAACAAAATATAGTTGTACAATTACATCTCAAAGCAAGTTAATAGTGCTGACCTCTACTGAACCCACCCCCCAAAAAAGACTGTGATTTTATGAGTGTGTGCATATTCTCATGATTCTCATTCTCCGTAATTCCTCATTTCCTAGGTGACACTATCCTGTTCAACATGAAGTCTGTGCTGCAAAACACTGCTCATTTTCAGAAACTACATGCATCCAGAACTGAATGTAATCATCAGATGTCGAAAGTGATCTCTGCTTTAAAAAGTGACTTTACTGAAAGGATAGGCCACTGAAAGGCCCTATGTTTACAGTAATGTGACAACTAGAATTTGTTCAGATTTCAGTATTGTTCTTCTAGTTATAAACCTTGCATATATCTGGAAAGCTAATAATTAAGGAGGATTCTTTATTCTTCCCTGTCCAAGTTTTTCAGCCACTGCAAAATGAGTATAAGATTAGTGTTAACACATTATATGTATAATAAATATTTGAAATCATCACACAAAATAACTCCTAATATTGCTGAAAAATCCAGCTCTTTTTCAAAAGGGGTCAGGTTTGGTCAAAGTCTAGGCTCTGTATCTTGCTTCACTATTTTTTCCACCCAAATCTACAAGCATTCAGTTTATCTCAGCAGTGGCATTTGGAATTAAAATACTGCCTAAGAAAAGGCTTCTCTGTACAGTCCTAGTATTATATTCAGTAACCAACCATGTAAGGCAACCCGGGCTGGAAGTGATTTAAGTTGCTGTAAATACGTTAATAATGGCATTTCAGAACTATCTAAACCTGTAGCAGAGCCATCTTCTTACACTATTTTTTAATCAACTGTAGATACACTTAGTCATTTCATAAGAAAAAGTCCTCATTAAGACAAGTCTAAGTTGTGAAGTCCCTGAAGTTTGGTTGGTTTATTTTAACTGTGAGCACTTGCTTACAAAGAGTGTCAGCCTGCAGATTTTGAGATTACTTTAACACAAAAAACAGATCACCCAAATGATTAATCCGTCCTCCTTTACTACCAACAAGGTATTTGGTTGAGGTGAACAGCTAAGAATGTTACAAGCAATTGACAACACAGTTCCTGTCAGCTGTTGAAATGCTAAGCCTATCTTTAAAACACCCTAAGCTTTCCTGTGATCCCACAGGTTGCACAAGAATGACTTTCAAAGTGTACCAACTTCTATTAAAACATCCCATCTTGGCATGCAACAGGAGTGCTTCCCTTCATCTTTTCCCAGCTCTTTTAGACTAGTTCTTATTTTGCACTTAGGCAGCATCTCACCATCTTATCCGTCCCTCTTTGAAACTTAAGACTTCAAAACTCACAGACAGGACAAAGGGGCAAGAGAGCTACTGCTTCATGATGTGGAAAGTTGTACTCCTATTTCCATTAAGGAAGGGACTCCCACTGAGTTCCAAACTCAGGGCAGTGTGTGAGCTGCTTTGCTGACCAAACACCAGGAACACAGCAGTGCTAGAAGCCAGTGCCCATACATAGGTAAGGTACCTCTAAAAAGCAGCACCCTTCTTCTGGGAGTTACAGAACTCTTAGGTCTCAATGCAGAAACAGACATTCATCCTGCATCTCCCCAGGAGGATCATCCCTATCCCAGCAGGAAAGCCAGTACTGTATCCACAGATGCAAGGAAGTATTCATCAGTGTTTTACTCCTATAGCAGGAAATACACCTAAGCATGCTGCTTACTACAGGAGATACACATATGTGCACACATGTGTATATATGCACATGTATGTATACTTTTATATATTTAGCATATAATACATATGCAAAATTCTGTTAGATTTGAACTTAATTCACAAAGGCTCAAACTACATCCTTTTAACCTGTAACCGCAGACCTACAGCACTGACTGTGTTCGTTTTGACATTCAAGTCTCCAATTGGCATCACTGGCAACTTTTTATAAGCACTGCCTCAGTGGCCCAAATGCAACTTCATTAAAAATTGTTGGGGCACAGGGAGAGAAAGAAATACTGTTATGCCAACAACATTCATATTTTATAACTAAGTTAAGTACCATTATAGTGTTCTACGGTATATCAGACCAGTGTCTTTGCAGACAGTACACAACATACCAGAAGGATAGTGAGTGTATATTCACAAGCCAGAATATTGTATTTCAAGAAGAAAATTGTTAAGATAGTTCCGGGGCTCAAAACTACTGAATTTGACTGAGGTTAATATCTGCGTATGAATGACAGGCTTCTTGTTTTAAATACATACAAACATTCTCTTAAAGATAAATAGGAATCTTCATGTCATTGGTAAATTCCACATACAAATACAATTTTGATTCCACTGGAAAGGATTTATGAATGTTTATACTAGGTGCATAGTGGAAGGTTCATCTCCACACAAAAGAAAAACACCTTTTCAAATGCAGACTAAGGCTCTCCAATGGTGGAAAGGAAATGCCTTAGAAGTTACCTTGTTTCCTTCTGGGAAGGAGGAGAAAAAAAAAATCAAAAAAAAAAATCACATACACACAGACAGAATGCAATATAGGAACATAAAGTTCTTATTGTGAAATTGCTGTCAGGTCAGGCACTTTACCAAGAATTACAAAAGTGTGAGTGCAACAGCCCATTTAAATGCAGAAAAGGACTCTTCTAACTCTGCATGGTTTAAATCCCAACATTAATTCAAACTCAGTTAAAAGACTGAAAATTACACACTGAAAACTCAGTGAACTCACAGTTCAGAGCTTCCCTTTCTCTATTGTCATCAACAGTTTACAGACTATTCAGACTATTTACATATTCAGTATGATTACTAGTGCCAAAGCTTCTGATAAAAAGAAAAAGTTTACCTTCTTTAACGGAGTTGATTTTCTCATATCATATAGTACAATATTTCTGTCAGAAGCACAGCTTCCCAAAAGGTATGTCTAAAAAAAAAAAAAAAAAAAGCCGTGTATGGTCTTCTAAACACTTCTAGAGTATGGTTAACAGCTTACATTAGATATCTAAGCTATTTAGTCAAAGCTGGTAGTCAAATAGTTCTTTTTTCAGACAAGGAAGTACATTCATCGTTCTTTCTGTGCAGCTCATTACTGAGCGCAAACATTTTAAATAACTTCCCGCGTAAGATTCAGAATCACCCAGTCCTCTCTACTTCAAAAGTAACAAGCAATTCCTCATAAACACTTTGTATGCGAACACAGCCCAGCCAAGAGGTATATAGGAACTGCTGCAGAAGATCAAATGCAATTGTTTTGCCATGGAGAGGGGGAGAAGTCTTGGTGACAGGGAGTACAATACTGGAACAGATGAGAGCTCCACAGTCACATAACCGCTACATTGTATGATTAAGGTATGTATTGCTGTGGGCAGAAGAGAGACCACACTACTTTTCTTTCTCCTCTCCCCGACTAACAGAGACAAAAAATAAAAAGATGAAAATATAAGGTACTACACTGCAAAGCAATATAGCCATAAAAATATATATACACACCCCTAAATATTATGTTAAAACACATATCAAAATCTAAATTTGGAAGCCATTAAAGACAGTGTTAATAGAGTTTAGACCTTATACCGCTCAAGAAAAATATTGATTTCCAATATATAACAGAAACATTACCTCAATAGGATTAAATTTTACACTGCTTATGCTATCAAAACCCCATGTCAGAGAACACATGGGACTTGTCCTTTGCTCATCCCAAATGTCCACTTGATGGCCACAGGTGGCAAAAACAGCTTCCTTCCAGTGGTGATCAATTCCTGTATACACTGTCTTTAAAAGAAAAAACAAACAAACAAACCCAACAAAAAATTCACAAAACAATTTACAAAACCAGTTGTATACACAAATATGCAAGTATATTGTTACAAAAAAGATCAACAAATCATTGCATATCAAGCCTGCCATGCTTTTATCCATTTATACTACTGAAAACCAAGTCACCACTGCTACCAGAAACTAAGTCTTATGGGATGTACCCTTACACAATAGACTAGCTTTCTGTGTACTCACCTAATGTGCATACATGCATTTCTTGTTAATTTACAATGGAGTCAGCATTAGAAGCCCATTTACAAAGTCCTGGCTGACTTTAAAGCAAATGGAAATTTTAAGGGTGCAACTACAAATTTTCTATGTGGACCGGAACAGATTCCATAGACATTACAATAATTAAGAGTTTCAATCTATTTACAAAAAGCATTTAATGTTGTTCTTAAAATAAGCTTATCATAAATTGAAAGTGCTGAAGTATACATTTTTAGTCTGCTTTGGTCAAAAAGAAACACATGAAGTTAAAATTTTGTATTGAATGGCTGCAAGGTATTGGCAAGAAAAGTTATTTAATGCAGACTAAGCGCTGACAACACACGACTGAAGAGAAAGAGACTACAGAACAATCTGACCAGTTCGCAGGAAAGGGATTATTAGCAGAGACAGAACTAAGTAGTCTCTGATGGCATTTGAGTTATTCCTTTCCAGTTACATGTAAAACAAATGTAACAAAAACTTGAAGATACTTTAAAAGTGCCATTATAAAATTTGATGCCATCACCTTACAACCCATTATGATAACATGATAACAAACTATGTATCTCTTTCTAAAAGCTAGATAATAATTGGTTCAAACTTAATACAAAAGAAGAGATGTGGGAAAATCAAAACTTAGATTTACTACCTTTCCAAGAATTGTATGAATAGGCTCCTCTTCTTCTCCATATTCCGGGCTCTCCATTTTCCACTGCTTCACAGTTTTGTCATCGCCAACCTAGAAATATTGGAGAAAGCAGGTACAGTTTTACATAAATATATTCTGTTTATTTTACTAGATGTGCTTTGCAGTTAAGTACAGGCAGCCTTTCAAAAGAGAATGATCTATGACATACACAGAAGTGCTCTTCTCCTGCCTATTCACTGTTCCCTTTTATAACGCTAAGCTGAAGATTAATTCTCCTTGTCATAATATTTCACTAGAAGCCGAGAAGGTACATGTACATCATCTGGCTGGAATGGAGTTAACATTCTTCATAGCAGTCCATATGGCACTGTGTTTTGGATTTGTGGCTAGAACAGTGCTGATAAGGCACCAATGTCTTGGCTGCTGCTGAACAGTACGGTATCAAGGCATTTTTGCCTCCCCCGCTCTGTCAGTCATCATCCCTGCCTGCCCCATCAGCAAACAGGCTAGGTGTGGGCAATAGACTGGGAGGGGACACAGGTGCGACATGACCTGAATTGGCCAAAGGAGTATTCCATACCATATAACATCACGCTCAGCAATAAAAACTGGGATAGCAGAAGAAGAAAGGGGTGGTGAGGGCTGGCTTCCAAAGTGGCTGCTGTTCACAGACTGTCTGGGGATCTGTCTGCTTGTGAAAGGAGGTGACCGACTTCCCGTTTGTCACTGCTTCCACCACCACCTTTCCTTCACCTATTCAACTGTCCTTATCTCAATCCACGAATCTTCTCCAGTTTTCAAAAGAGATCCTTCCAGGGTCAAATTGGAAAAAGGTGAGCTGGAATGATGACTGGTTTTTTAGGCTACATTTTGTGATTCTTAATCAAACAACACCTTAAACTGCAAATTATTTTTTGGAAGTCACTTTGATGAGCATGTAAACAGTTAAAAGGCACTTTCCACCTCAGTTGCTCCAGACACCTGTTCCTAACATCAGGCTACCTCTTGCACTATGCCAGCAAAAGCTTTTGTGTGGCTGTGCAGTGACCTGGATCAGGCACACTGGCCAAAAAAATGTTAGCTATACAAGTTTAACTTCCTCTCCTGACAGCACTACTACTGTTTCTTCTTCCCCTCTCTCAATTTTCAGGCAGAGGGACTGTCAAAAGGGGATTCTAATTTGGAGTCAGTTAGAATTTTTTGCTATGAATTCCCCTACATCCTAACTACTGTCCTCCTGACCTGGTACGTACTTCAGAAAAGATAAATATATAGTAGCAAAAATAGCTCTTCTATGCACAGCTCAAAAGAAGCAAAACCGCAGGACACTCTATTCTTCAAAACCAATTCTTTTTATTGTATCATCTTAGAATTGTTTCAATGCAAACATGAGGACATACTATTTCCAGACAGTTTACATGGAACTGAATCAGTTATGGTTGATAGAAGTTAATAAAGCTTAATTACCATGGAACCATCTTGACTTAATCAGCTTACCTTTAATCATAGTATATGCAAATGGTTACTTTTTTAAGTGTTTGTAGCTCTTTCAATGAACATAATCTATCTACTACTTTAATGAAAACTAGTTTATTCAAGTTTTAATTACATGACCATCCGTTAGCAATTTTCTGGTATTTATCCATTCCATAGTCTTGAATAACATCCATATCGCAGCATCAAAAACAATTTCATCAGAAATAGAATTGTCAGGTTCACTGACAAATTTAATAAACGTATTCATACAATATTTAAATGTTGTATGGCAGAGAGTAAGTTGCTCACTGGAAAACAGATGGTGAACAGGCACTCTACTGCTACACTGTACTAGGGAGACACATTATACTTACAGTAAAGAATGATGTACCACAGAAACGAGCACACATGCCTCGAACAAAGCCTTCATGGGCTTGTATAGTACGAATACACTGTCGTGTGGTCAAGTTCCAAATTTTAACCTGTTAAAAACAGAAAAGTATTCTGTTGTTACTTAAGTTTTCTACAGCCCACAACTGCAGTTCATAATTCAAGTACAAAAGATCACATATGTTGTAATGAAATAGCACAGCTGGCTTGAACACTGGTCAGATTTTATAATGTTAAAACTACTCAATTATTCCCATCTCGAAAAAAAATTTTAAAAGTGCAAGTCTTTCCTTCTTACCCCTTCCCCCCACCCAAGCTGTATACTAACTGTATTTTTGCATTCCCCTATTTTTGAACTAGAATCCTTGCCAGCAGCGATAATTTTAGCAAAAAATACCCCCCTAAAGAGAAAAGCACAAGGAAATAGCCTTTGGAACCAATAGAATGTTTCCAGCCCAGCTGCTGAGCTACATTTTATACAGATGTCCACCTCTCAGAGGTTTCGGTTTCAAAGCATTTGGGCCCATTTAAAACACAAAGAAATAGAGGTCAGTTTTTATATTTGTATATATTTATAGTACCCAGTACTTTACTCGTTCTTTCAGTGGATAAGAAATCTGGCCAATGTTTCATATAAATCTATCCCCCTCCTTTCTGAAAAGGTTAATCTCCCTTACACTACTGCATGACATATGCACCTTCTATAAAAAGCAGGAAGCAAAGAGCTACCCAGAAGACACCTTTAAAATACACCAGTACTATCAAATGAACAGTACAAGGATGAGGGAGGACAGAGAAGACGGAAAAGACAGGCAGGTTTTTTCTGCAACTGACTCCAATTAAAGTGCCCTTGCTTGCTATTTGTAACACTTATGTAAAATAATCAAACAAATACAGGGTTAGCATTTCTTAGGCAATATAAATTATTATTCCAAAAAGTTTTTGGTTGTGTGCCCCTTCCCCCTAGCTCATCTGACTTCATGTAATTTTCTTCATCTGCAGCAATTTAACCTCTTCAAGGGGAGGAGGGGGATTGCATGGGCAGCAAAAAGCAGTCACTATGGACTGTAAATATTAACATTCAGTGCTCCATCCTGAGGAACTGAATGTCACGCCCCCTGCTCGCAGCTGAAAGCTGCTCCCTTTGTGTTCTGGGAGATTACAACCTGCATTTTGAGAAACACTGCTCCAAACTGGCTAAGTTGCACCTTCTGAGAGAAGACAGGGTATCATGCTGAACAAAGACACAAAAGAAAGGTAAGCAGGGGGCATTAAAAGAAAAAAAAAGGAAAAAAGAAAATAGAGAAAGAAAAAAGAAAAGAAGGAAGAAAGGTACCTCATTTGTTGTGGTTTGTAACTGCAGCTTACCTCTCCATCACAAGCTCCAGACAGCACCGTAGACAAACTCTTTGGATGTTTGGCCATGCAATTAACTCCATCTCTGTGGCCATCAAGCGAGCTAAGAAAGGGTTTTGCAAATACACGTTCTAGCTTTGTTGCATTCAGAGCTCTTGTGTACTCTCGTGGAACCTCAAATGGATGCAATGCAGGGTCATAGTTTCTTGGAACTGCAGTAAGAGTAACGCACACATTAGAAACCCACAGTATGTAGCGTAGCTCAAGGTAAGCTGAACGCACAAGCTCTTCTCTTTGATTTCCCTGCCATGGGAGAATTTCCTGCAACACTAAGATTTTTGCCATTCCTATTGTTTTGAAATTGGTCCGTGGGATCATTACTATGTTCACTTAACAAGCTCGAAGTTAGTAAAGTCTGAAATAACTCTGAAATTATTTGATGTCCTTTTCAAGGATATGAATGTACACAACAAACTGGAAGTTAGAATCACAGAACCATTTAGATTGGAAAAGACCTTTAAGATCGAGTCCAACCATCAACCATGCCCACTAAACCACGTCCTGAAGTGCCTTGTCTACGCGCTTTTTGAATCCCTCCAGGGATGGTGACTCAACCACTTCCCTGCGCAGCCTGTTCCAGTGCCTGACAACCCTTTCGGTGAAGAAACTTTTCCTCATGTCCAATCTAAACCTCCCCTGGCACAACTTGAGGCCATTTCCTCTCATCCTATCTCCAGCCACCTGACAGAAGAGACCAGTACCCACCTGGCTACAACCTCCTTTCAGGTAGTTGTAGAGAGCAATAAGGTCTCCCCTCAGCCTCCTCTTCTCCAGACTAAACAGCCCCAGCTCCCTCAGCCATTCCTCATAAGACTTGTGCTCCAGGCCCCTCACCAGCTTCATTGCCCTTCTCTGGACACGCTCCAGCACCTCCATGTCTTTCCTGTAGTGAGGGGCCCAAAACTGAACACAGCACTCGAGGTGCAGCCTCACCAGTGCTGAGTACAGGGGAACAACCACCTCCCTGCTCCTGCTGGCCACACTATTTCTGATACAAGCCAGGATGCCATTAGCCTTCTTGGCCACTTGGGTACACCGCTGGCTCACATTCAGCTGGCTGTCAACCAGCACAGGTATCTTGGAAATATTATTTAAAAAGAAGCCCAAAACACAACAACCACAAAGCAAAAAAAAAACCACCCAAAAAAACCACCCCACAATACCAACCTCCTACCACTAAACTCTAACATACACAGAAAGGACACAGCTCCATGGACATGCACAAAGAGAGGCAACCTAGCTCTCTTCATGTTTAGTCAGCTGCAAGCCAGCCCCAGCTCAGAAATGAGACTCGTTAGTTTAATCAGCTTGGTCCTCTGCTAATGCTATCTGGTTTCCCATACAGAAGTGTTTACATCCAACAAACTTCAAGCAAGAGTGTCTCTTCATCCACCTGCATAGATATACCCTAGAATAAATTCAGAAAGACAGTGGATATTGACATTGTGCTTCTGGTTTTTGTCTCTCTCATTCTGTTTCAGGCAAAAAGGTTGAGAAGTCAGTAGAGCAACTCACAACAGAACACTCACTAGGCATCCATACGCTAGTTCAGTCTGCTGGTTTCCAAAGACTATTTGATGCACATCAAAACCTCAAAAATCTCTCATGGAGTTGGGTATGAGTCTGTAATATGACAGAGAATTTGATTTAACAGCTTACACACAAATCCCACTTAGAAAATTAATAAGTATTCAGCTACTGTCCCAGTGGATAACTTTGGTAATATTTTTCCATGTTGTAAGTATATAACCACTATTAACTAACTAGGAAATGTTAGTTACGATGCTACCTTGCACAACATAGCCACCTACCTCTAATTCAATCAAATAACGAAGCATACGCAATTTAAAATAATACAGGTCTATTGTCCTGCTCAAAGTAGTTTAACGCATCCAAGACGCCCAGAGTTTTATTCCTGCTCTTTCTGACAAAGGGTGGCCATCTTACAAACTTTATTTCTGACGCTAGGTAGAAGCTAAACCTCTTTTCTATCGTGTTACTGAGGTGGGACTGCACGACTGTGTAAGATCAGTTCTACGGAGGCTGAGCAGAGCAGAGCACGGAAAGTCATCATCTCACCTGCCAGGCTACAGCTGCTGCATCTAAAAACGTGTAAAATCCACACCATTTTTGCCAGTTATAGTAAGGGGTACACAAGAAGCTGGATGAGATGTACCAGGAAAGACACAGTAGCAAGCGCAAGAGGCTGCTAAGAGTAACCTACGTAATACTAAGAGTAATCTCGGAGTACCGGAGCGGTGACTAACGCCCCCAGCTCCGCACTCCGGCTCTAACGGCGTTTCCAGGCCACGCTCTGGCAGCCCCAGCGCCCACCTTCCAGCGGCCGCGGCGGGGCAGCGAGCGTGCTTCTCGGCGGACGGCGACCGCACGCCGCCGCCTGGGACGGAC